AAAAAAAAAAGAGAAATAAAAAAAATACAGTGCAACTTTCCCTCAAAGAAACACATTCCTCTTTCACCATTTTCTACCATGTAATACGTTTCATCTTACCACTTTTATTCTGGTACACACGGTTCAAAGAACGTTAGTAAATTTCGTTATTTTTACGCTACACTTTATTACTCTTAACTAGAGGCATTCTCCGACACTATATTAAGTTCATAGAGTTCAAAGACAACCACTGTGTCTCGTTATTTTTACACCTCGTTTTATTATTTTTAATCCCCTTAAGCGATTTAATTCCCAAGCGAAAAAAAAAGGATGTTTGAAAAACAACGTGTTCTTCCTTAAACGAGAGAGACGCGACTATCTCTTTCTCTCAATATTCCCTGATTTTATTTACACCTTCTTTGACTACCTCTATTTCGCGTGCTTTTGATCTGATATCATTTACAATTCTCAGGTAAAAAGGAGAGTTCGAAGAACACCAAGAAAGTAAGATAAATGCTGTTAATAACTTCGTCCTGGATATATTCCAGGACATTTCGTCAAACGTTCGCGTAAATCTCCAAAACGAGGGTGTCCATTGACAAAGGACCCTATCAGCGATGGGGCTGACCTTGGCTCGTTACAATACGAACAACCCTGTTTCGTTGAACGAGCAAGAAGCTTGGGAAAGTGACACGTTCCGAAAGAGCCATCGACTGTCGACCGACATGCTTCGCCAACGAAATGGCAAATGTCGTGCTAAAATAACGTTCTTCCACCAGGGAGGATTATGTGTTGATGGAAGGTCTAAATTTAGTGGAGCAAGTAGATCACTCTGGCTGAGCAAGTACAGAAAATGTACGAGTACTGTCGATTTTTCCAAAAAATCATAATTAAACTTTCAATTTTTCTGGGGATGAAGTTACATTTCGATGAAGAAATGATATGTACATTTTATCGTATATTATTCAAATTGGTGATTGCTAAAAATTTGAACCAAATGTACGATAATAAGATAATAAGATGTGACAGCGATGCTTATTTCATCGAAAAACTGTACTATATCTCCGTGTGATTTTATCTAAGAAAAATTTTCTTAACTTTACGTTAAATTGTGCAAACGGAGCTAATACTCATCGAAGCTGATTTAAGATATTAATTTCTTTTTTTTTTAATGACAGCCAACTTTGAACTTGAATTTCCAACTCTTTTGTGAATAAAAAAGAAAAATTTTGCTTCATCAAGTACTAGATAATAGTCCTGAGAATAATGACGCCGAAATCAAATTTTTATAATTCAACCAGATATTAGAGAAGAAAATAATTTGAAAGCAAGCAAACCTAATTTCCTCCCAATCCACCTAAAACATTCAATACAAATGTAAATATGAATACGATAAATAATAAACGCATCGACAATCTCTGAGACACTTCAGAAATTTCTCAAAAACTGTGGAAGGGAAAAAAAGAAAAAAAAGGTGAAAAACAAAAGTTGAAACAATCGAGAATTCTCCAAATCGATCTACTTTTCTGTCTTCAGCTTCTGTCTAATTTTTCAATAATATACGAGCCACTAAATCGATCCAACCAAGTGAGCAAACGTACATGCAAATCGGGGAGGGGGAGAAAAAGAAGAGAAATCATCGGGTGAAATCGAATTGAAACAGCGGTGCTAATTCGTTTTCGTTTCGAACGATTCGCTCTTTGTATATTAGAATTAACGAACGAATTGGAATCCATCGTCCCTCGTCCCTCACCCTTTCCAATCCCTTTGGCACGCTCGGCCGCCATTCCACTTCGTCGGCAAATATTTACAGGTGACGTTTTGTTCCCCCCGGATAAATTGCGTTCCGGCGAGTATTCGAAAATTAAAATGATCCCCGAGCGTCCGCGTTTGGAAAACGTTTTCCATGCAGGTTGACATGCACGAGGCCGATCGTTTGCTTTTACGCTGTTTGCGGGCTCGGTTTTTGGTCTGCCTTCTGTTTTACTTGGCAGTTTTATTTGACAAAGTAAACAACACCTCTAAGGAATTGAATTGGTGAACGATGAAAGTGACGAATGTGAGGAAAATGCGGGATCTTTCGGTATGAAAAAGAGATATGGAGATATATTAAGAACGTGTAATATTTGGTCTACTTTCGAATTTTCAAGAAATTGAAATAAATTATTTCGGTATTTATAGAAATATAAAAATTGAAATAAATTACTTTGATTTGTAACTACGGACAGCATGGAACAACATTTGCTTACTACTCAAGTTGTTTAATATTTCACTGAAAAAAAATCCGTTCTTTATTTCATCCTATTTTATTTCCTTTTTTTCTTTTTTTCCTTTGGCATAAATACGTATCATTTCAACTCCTCGGTTTTCCATTAAAATGATCAGTTTTTTATCTCCTTGGCACTTTTACGATTTCGGCTAATTCGATTTATGCTATTACGTCACATATGCTAGGCCTATAACGATTTTAGAGATGAAAGCGAGAATGTAGTTGCATATTTTATGTCTGTACGCTGTGTTTTACAACACTTGCTTCTAATTTATGACACAGTATCTTTCGTGTATTGCATCAACGAATGAGATAGATATATGTGTGTGTGTGTGTGTGTGTGTGTGTACAAAGAGGTGTATTACAAAGTTTTCAAAAGTTTACCTCGTTATTACAAAATCTTCTAAAGTTTACCTTGAAAACTTATAGAAACGAGTCACTCATATTTTTAGAAATTAAATACTAATTGCGTACAGAGAGTCGCAAAAGTATTCGTACGCCTCTAATTGGTTTTTGATTAGTTTGAATTAGATTAATGATAATTATGAATGATAAATATTTTTGAGATTTTTAGAATCAAATATTATCAGATACTTAGTGATAGAAATATGTACTACGCTAATTATATATAAATTTATATTAAATCAGAAAACGTATCTAAGTTAGTCATGTATTAAATTGAAACTCAGATTATTTACTAACGTGGCGAGCAAACAAACAATTGTTTATTAATTCCGTGAAACTAAGAGTAAAATTTTTATTCTACAAGTAAGTATTCTACACCGATTTTTCAAAATCAGAAAGTCTAAATTTCTCAACCTTGTCAATCTGAAAACATTCTATGTTACGATCATCCTTGAATTAAATTTATCATATTGGTATACAATTTAAATTGTTTACTAACGTGACAAACAAAAAATTCTTCATTGACTCCATGAAACTAGGAGAATTCTAACAATAAGACTAGAACAAAAATCAAAATGCCAAGTTTCGAAAGCACGAATTCTTCAACGCTATCAATTAACAAACATTATCTGTAAATTATCCTCAAATTGGAATTCAGACAATCGAACGAAAAATTCCCTATTGATACCACGATGATTGCAAAATTTTAAAAGTCAACCAAAAATCCTGAGAGTCGAAATTTCCCAAATCTAACCCCAAGATATTCCCACAACGCAGTTACACAACTCTTTACGGCACGAAACGTACGATCTCAAAATTAATATTCGCTGCTGAAACTGTTCGGTTGTTCACCAATGAACAATGAAACAGCCTCGTTAACGAATAACACCTAACTAATTGAACGATATCGGTCCTCGCGACTTATTTA